TAATTCTTTTAATTTCTTTTTACAATCCTCTACTATTGCTTCTTTCTGTAGCAACATTTCATTTAAATGTCTCCACCAAAATCAAACTGTTTAGAGAGCTATGCAATCTTCCTATTTCAAAATAACAAAGCAGTCTAACATCAGACATGTTTAAAGGTTTTGTTTTTTCTTCTCTCCCCCCCCCCCCCCCCCCCCTAAGCTGCAGCAGTTATGCAGGATTCTGTTAAGACTTTGGATTTAGATTCAGGAGGTTCAAGTTCAAGACTCCACTCATCCATTGACCTTACTGGATGACTTTGGAGTAGTTTCTCTCTCTGAACCAACCTATTTTATAGAGTTGTTGTCATGAGTATAAATTGGGGAACCCTTATGTGCATCATCCTAGACTTCCAATCAGCTGCAGTTCTGTGGGACTTGGGGGAAGTCCATTCCCTGATTGCAGGATCTTCTGTCCGATCTTGCATCTTGGCTGCTGGGTTTTAGGCCTTTTGTGGGGAAGGGTGGCTCGATATCTTTTCAGCTCCCACACATAAAAAATGCTGGAAGTTTTTTGCACACAGCCAGAGAAATGCCAATAACATGAATAAGGAGTGGGATGCAAACAATTTATTTTATTTGCCTTTTGTGTGAAGAGTTTAGCGGGCATTTATTACTGCAGAACCTGGGACAGTAACAATTTAAAGGAAATAGACTTGTGTAAACTTGCTGGATCAATTTGATAAATATAAAAATATTATAACTTTGTGCATACAAACTTGATCTAGGCATCTTAATTCAGTTTTCAGCTGCTTTCTTTGCCTTGGTCCTTCTTTCCTTGTATCTGTGGTTGTGCCTTTTCTATCACTATCTGGCATAAACTGCTTGATGTTACTGGATATCATGTGCTTCAAGGGAGACAGGCAGGAGTGGAACTTGTAGCCACTGAACTGAGAATTGAATACTTTAAAAAATTTTAAAAATCAAAATTCCAGTGGCTTTACAACCCATGGTAAATATGTGATTTATCTTTCATAGATAGGAATGTTCTGGGTTGGTTTTTTTTCCCCCCCATTACACTTCATAATGGTATTCAAGGAATGTTGTAGTTTCAGTTTAATGCTTCTCCTGGCTTTTTTCCATTGTAGTTTCTAAATATAGAAGCTGTGACTCTCTTGCTAATTATGCTACACTCTTCTGATTTCATTCCAGTCACTGTTTCATCCTGTTTCTCATAACTAAAATATTCTTGATTCTCAAAGGGGGAATTATATAGATAATATTTGTAAAGGATTTTGAACAGACTCTGTGCTAGCATATTTCAAAGAGCAACTTCTATTTACATAATTATTAAGACCCTTTACTTGTACTGACGGGCACAGGCATTGTCCTGTAATTTTCCTGGGCATTAAGAATAGGTGGAAGCTGTTTCATCTTGTTTGTTTCAAAATTAGGACATGATTTCATTCACTTTTTTTGAGTGACAGCATGTTATGTTCTTTCCTTCTGCTCTTAAAACTTGAAGTTTCTCTGCATTTGAATCATGTAACAAAAATGATACATCAAGATTTCCTTGTTTACATTTTGAGTTGGAGAGTCAATCATATTAAAAAGCTCCCGCGTGTTTTTGGATAGCATGTAGTGGAAAGTCCATTCCAGCTTGGCAAAGGCACAACAGAAACTTTATTGAAACTTGGCAGTATACTTTTCAGGCAGAAGAATGAATGAACCTCAGCTTTGATGGGTTCTGTTGCCTTCTTTTAATACTTCCACCCCCGTATGGCGGTGTGTGTGTGTGTGTGTGTATTCCCAATCTATAATTCCAAAGTTAAAGTTTATCGCATCCTGCTGAGGTTTCCAAATGTGGTTATTGCAGTAAATAATAGATGTTTAGGATAATGATAGAGAGATCCGATCTGTCAATAATTGAAAAAGATTATGAAGCTAAAGAATCTCCTTATTCTCCCCTTCCCCTCAGCCTAGGAGGAAAAAGGAAAAGCACTTATTTCTGATACCTTAACAATTATTTTCTTTTCATTTACATCTTAAATTAGTTTCCTGCTGAAGGGACTAAAGACTTGTCACTAATTCCAAAAATCAGGAGGAGTCAGGTAGCACCTTTTCAGATTCACCCATTTTATTAAAAGGCGTTTGCTTTCAGGAACTGTAGTTCATTGCATCAGATGCACAGAATGATGAAATGAACCAAAGAAGTAAGCTACAGTTCCTGGAAGTCTATGCCTTTTAATAGAATGGGTGAATCTGAAAAAGTGCAACCAGATTCCTTCTGATGTTTGGCTACCATAGAATAATATGGCTTTCCTCCTACAGTCACTAGTTCCAGGATTTGAAGGGAAAGGATTCCTGCCGTCTAGGGGATCCTCATACTTTTTGCTCAGTTGAACACCCTTTTTTTGGTGGGAGCTAAACCACTTTCCATCATACTATAGAGCAGATAAGACCAGGAATTCTTTTGTACTAACTCATGTTACTTCTTATTAATCCATAAACTAATAACTTATCTAAGTTTTTTTAAAGTTTTCAACACAACAAACAATCTGAACCTTCCTAAAGTATGCATTTTTCATTTTTTTAGAAATTGTTTCCAGTTCTGATTTCAGGTTATTTCAAGCCTTTCTTTTTTCTGTCTCTTCTCTTCTTTTCTATCTTTTCTTGGACAATCCTTAAGTTTAGTTTTTTCTATAACTCACTCTTCCATACATAGTCAGACATAAATGTTTGGTAGAAATACTACAGATCTCATTTTCTGGGGAAAGTCTTCCAGAAATACAAATATTATTTTCACTGGACCTTGCTGCAGTTTCATGTCTGTTGTATTTTATGCGTAACTCTAATTTCCTGATCTAGTAATATCCTCAGTATAATGTAAGATTCTAATTCCAGTGTTGTATATTTTGAACCTGCTAATTCTTTTCAGAGTTATGTCTGTGGTATTTTGGGATATCATTTTCATTAAGCACCCATGATTCAGCTTCACAAGATCCCGCGTCTATGTGTGGGCTTGATTTATTTATATGAAATATATACATATGCATGTAAAAGTATGTATATATGCATGTAAAAGTATTTTTTTTAAAATACTTTTTAAACGAATACTCTTTTTAGGTGCATGCTTATATAATCAGCCATCTGAAGAAGGAAATGCCTTCAGTATTTGGAAAAGAAAACAAAAAGAGGGAACTGATCAACAAACTACCTGAGATTTATCGCCAGCTGCAGCAAGAGTATCAAATTTCACCAGGAGATTTCCCTGAAGTCAAGAAAATGCAGGTATAGTGTCTCAGTAGACCAAATTGTGTTATAAACGGGCTATCAACCAACAGTTTATCTGTTGTTTAAAGGAGGCTAATCACTTTCAAGGTGTTCTTAGAGTTATTTCTTGCTTTTTCTCTGAATTCAAAGTTGCATACGTGGTAATAATTCCATCTCTCCACCTACTCTCAGTTTTAATTCCCACAATCAGTTTGGGATGTATATTATGATAAAAAGTGTATCTGCTTTAACTGAATACCTTTATGCTACCAATATACTAATCTGAAAAATTATTATACACACACACACACACACACACACACACACATATATATATAAAAAATGTATGAGTCTCTCCATTTAATTACTCTAAAACCAACATAATTCAATTTGAAAATGTAACACAGTGAGATACATTGTGTTGAGAGGTTGCCATTCAGGTTTATCCCATGACCTACATGGGATTTGAAAAACGTTTCCCCAACCCCAGTATAGCACAAGTAATCACTACATAATACGGTAGAAGAAAAAGATGTGTGTGGTGTATTGCTTTCAAATGGTTCAGTTTAATATCATATGAGCCACCCAGAATCATTGAGAGTTGGGAGGCATACAATTATTATTATTATTATTATTATTATTATTATTATTATTATGGTTGATCACATAGTCAGCCAGATGTTTAGACTGGATTTGGCATTATTATTATATTTTTATCCTGCCTTTTAACTCAAGGTGGCCAACGTACCTAACTTTAAATGAATATTAATTTTTTAATGTATCTGCCTGTTTTAAATTTTTGGCTCTAATTTAAGGGAGAGTTAAAGAGGCTGTGTGGCCGTGTTCTTGAAGTTCTGTTTCCTAACGTTTCGCCAGCACCTGTGACCGGCATCTTCAGAGTGCAGGAGCACAGACAGGAGCGGTTCTCTCTGTGCCCAGCACAGAG